ACAGATCTTTTTTGTGACTGATAGCGAACAATATTAAAAAGCATAATACAGATGATGATATTTTGTGGAGATTGTAAACGATTTTAACAGATTGTTTAAAACAAAATCCTATCGGATTTATTGTTGCAAGCTAATTATTTTTCCAAGCGTGAATTAAGAGAACAATCGAATTTAATGTATTTTGAACAGAAAGTTTAAGTTTAAACCAAAAGCATATTGGATTTATTTTTGCGGATTTATGGATTTTATTTTGGGTAGGTAAAAAAATAAAAGATCAATTTGATTTGTATAACATTTGTATTATTCGAGTTCCATGCAATATAGAATTCTTTCCATATATTCAACCACTCAATTTATACATATCGAGAGAAGGCGCTTTAAGGAAATCGATTTTTTTTTAGGGAAATTATCATAATTTATGGTACAGATTATGCTAATCTTACACGTGCATAGTTCATATTAATTAATGATATTGAATTTTGAAATGAACAAATTACTTCATAATAGGAAGTTTAGATGTAACAAACAGTACATGTGCATATCTATACAATTATAAATTCACCGGAGGTTAATAAAGGCTCGCGATAAAAAAATCAGTTTTAAAAACAGGATAAAGGAAACAGATTCTATTCAAATTAAGCTGCGATTTTTTGCCTTATCAATATTGTCCGAAAATCTATATTTAGGCTACATTAAATGTATTTGGCGGGAAAACATTTCTAAAATTGTAAAAATGTTATTCTTTTTATATAATTATAGATTATAGATATCAGTCTAATGAATAAAATTCTACTGAAAGATGATCATCATTAATTTAAAAGTCTAAGGCCCCGTTTGGTAGATAGCGGATTGAAGATAAATTAGCGGATTGAACTTAATTGAGAGGTTTGACCCGTCAAATCCGCTATTGAGCTTGTTTGGTAAATAGCTTATTTGATAAGCTTTTTGGGCCAAAAACTCTAATTTAATTAGAAAAAACTCATTAGAGCAGCTTTTTGGGATAGAGGATTTACAAAAAATCATTTACTTGGAACATTTTAATTTGTCTTATTTATTTTACAATCTACATTGGTTTATGGTGCTAATAAATAATAAGATGTCATCTATATGATTAATTTATCTAGAAAAGTGTAAAATTCATAACTTTTTCATCAAGTGTTAGTAATTTTTTTTTTATAAAAAATATATTTATAAATTACCAACTAAAGAATATTAAATGTTTTAATATATTATTATTAAAAAATTACACTCTAAATAATAAAATGTCCATTGGTCATTTTGCAATGTCAAACAGCTATAAGCTTTCAGCTATTTACCAAACACTTATTTAAAAACCACTAATGCAATCCACTTGTCAAATCAACTAATATAATCCGCTATCCGCTATTCGCTGATACAATCCGCTATCCGTTGATGACAAACAAGTCCTAAACCTTAAAATTTGGTAGTTGAGATATTTTACTTTAATTTTAAGTTATTAAAATGTTCAACTTCGTGGAGATTTATATACCCCCTTAGTAACAGAATTCATACAAATTATATATGGAACTACCAACAACCTACGACGGAACAATTGCAAGCATAATATCGAGGAGATTTACCAACTGAGTTTCAATAAATTACAATGGATATTTTTTTAACGGAATACCAAGAAATTTTACCGAAATTTGCCGACATATAATTTTACAAATAGATTACCAACATATTTTTACAAGTGAATACATATCACATATGTTTAAGCTAAAGCAATTATTAGCCCATATGTTTACTACTAGCTATCTATTAAATTATTTATTTGATAAATTTCATATAAATAACATGATACATGTAAAGTTCATATGTAAAAACATGATACTGAATTACCTTAAATATTTTAATTAGTACATGTGCAAAGTTTATTATATACTAAAAAATCAATTGCGCAAGGTAGAATTATGATATAATTGATTTTTTTATTTATATATAACTGTTTTTCGAAGTTAATAAAGAAAATTATCTTAAGTTTAATTCTATACCTAAGGGTAAGCTTCGTACGTATAACAGCAACGTAGAATGTATGAAATAGAATTGTTATTATTATACTATACATTTTGTTTGGAAATAGACCATACAAAATCAGTTGCATATCCGTTTCTATTTCCTAATAGATTTTTTTTTTTAATTGAAAAATAGCAACAAAAATGTTTTGTTGGTAAAGACTAAATTAATTCGTCGCAAGTTGTTAGTAATTGCCAAGTGCAAATGTTTGTTGTAATATTTTTCAACCGGATATTTTATTAGTAATAAATAGCAATGAACAGTTAACGCTGGTAATATAGAAGTGAGGAATTATGAACCCAAAATGGAATATTATGTTGTAGCATACGAGAATACACACTATTTAGTACTCTCTCTTGTTTCTATTTATACCTCATATTAATTTAAAACTTTTAAATTACGATTTTCACGAAATGTGTAATAATCTTATATATTAATCATCATAAATTTAGTGTTTGAATTATTAATGGTTGGTTTTTAAAGATAATGATAAGAAATAAAGTTTGTTAAAGAGGATAAAATTGAAAGAATGAATAAAATATTTCCAACGACGACTAATTTACAAAAATGTTGACATCCTACAATGACATGTATTAAGAAACAGATTGAGTATTTATTACCATAATCTTAAGCACACTCCAAGAAACATTTTTTTTCTGAATTATTTAAATAAAGTCATATTTACGAGCACTACATTGTAGGTGTAGATGATAAGATGAATGGTCTCATTTTCAAATGTCTGAATTAGTATTCCTCAACTATTTCAGNACAATTTCTTGCTTTAATAATGTAAACCTCTAAAAAAAAAGCAAATTTTAACTATAACCATGTAAATGTAAAAGAATCTATATATATATAATTGCTAGCTAAGCAATAAATTTTACCTAATAAATAAAACCTAATAAATTTTACCTATGTGGCAAATCGTTAATAAAACCTAATAAATAGAACCTAATAAATTTTATTTATGTGGCATTAATACACCCAATGTCATTAATAAGAAAATATTTTATTACATTTTTTGGGTTAATTAAGACAAAAACCATTATATTTTATGTTAATTTATTAATAATTATATTTTTTATCGAATAATATAACAGTTAATATTAAAATTAGTAATTATATTTTATACTAAATAAATATGAAAGTTACATAAAATTATATTTTACACTAAAATCAATATTTTTTTATATGATGAAGCGGTTGTTTATTAATAAATTATTTTTTTTATGTCATAGTAAAATTTCTTAAAATCACATAAGCAATTGTTATAACAAATGTAATATTTTTCAGCTAATTAATTGGTCATGATCACTCAAAATTATAAATTAAAAAGTATATATTTATTACATTTTATGCAATCAATATAGTGATTCGTATACAATCAAATTGTGTGTACTATTTATTTTAACCAATGATCAAATTTTAAAATATAATACTATTATATAATTTATAATTTTAATATTATATACATAAATATAACTTATAACACTATATATTTGAAATATAATACAATTATATAACTTATAATTTTTATATTATATACATAAATATAACTTATAAAATTTAATTTTATTTACATCTGTGCAAATGCACAGAGTCGAATACTAGTATATATAAACACGAAAACTTTGTTGTTAGACAGACTTATCAGTTACACTACAAACTTAATAATTACACTATGATACATTTTCAATAAATAGTATACTCAACTAAAATATCATATTTTCATCTAAAATAATGTTGACTTGATCCACCTCAAAGTTAGATTTTCATAAAAAAATTTGTAATTTAAAAATATAATAAAAATGTATATTTTTTTTCAAACACTGTTAATTCATCATATCACACACAATTCCATTTCTTGCTCGAAAATTACTATATTTCAAAACTTTAATTTTCAAAGCTAGAAATTCAAAATTTGACATGGAAAGTACTCAAAGTTGGTAAGTAAAATGAAACACACATAAAAACTATCATTTTCCATTGCAAACCCTCTTAATTATAAGTCGGATTATCTATCGTTATCATTGACCAAGACACTTGAAATGATGAAAAGATATAAATTAATATTACAAGTAAAGGGAACTTTATTAGATCACAAATCACGTTTGGACGTCCCTTGACAACTGACGGATAGCTCACATTAGATCCTTAATCTTACCCTTTTGTAAAAACTAAAAACTTAATTTAAGGATTAGTTACATCTGTCACTTTTTAACTTTCTTAATTTAATAAAAATCTATATATTAAAAAAAAAGTCAATAAATTTGCAGTCTTTTTCGTCTTCACCTGCTCCATCAAATGATCAATGAAAAAGAAAAATCACCGTCTTTTTATTATTTCAAAAATCACCAATCAAGAACCTCTCTGAAAAAGTCAAAAAACCCATTTCACAGGGTGAAGAAGAGAGGCAGAGCCATTGTGTTATAAAACTTTTTTCTTCATAACAACCATCATTCTTTGAAAAAGACCCATTTTTTAATTTTATTTTTTCATTTTTGTTTTATGGTAAAAGAATCCCTTGTTTCTTAAGCATAAAACCTAATCCCCAGATGATTATTTTAAGTTTTTCCAGGCCCAAACTTAGGAAACATTCATAAGGATCAAGACATTTGACAGTCTGTAGTATGGACCACACAACCCGTGGCAAAGAAAAATGGAAAAAAAGGGAAATTTACGATTTTTTTTTTTTTTTTTNTTTTTTTTTTTTTTTTGAAAAATCCCTCATTAATGCATGAGACAAAATGGGTGACCACAAAATTTTGATTTTTTGGGGATTTACAATATAATTGCTTTGACCCTCCTACACATTACTCCGTTTTTCTCAGAGATGATCATCATTGGGTGCACCAAAATTCCTCTCAGGCACTTCTTTTTTGTAATCTTGTGAGCCCTTTTCCTTTTCTTTCAAGAATTGGGGTTATTCTGTAATTATCAGAAGTTTTGGGTGTTGGGGGTAAATGGAGAGTGGAGAGGAGCTGATGGGTGGCAATGAGGAGAGGATCTATGTGTCGGTGAGGCTAAGGCCTTTGAATGGGAAGGAAATTTTGAGGAATGATGTTTCAGATTGGGAATGTGTCAATGATAAGACCATTGTGTACAAGAATGTTGGGTTATCTCCTTCTGAGAAATCTATGTATCCTAGTGCTTACACGTTTGGTAAGTTTGCATTTTGCAGGAGTAATTTATCTAATTATGTGTGATGTTTTTAAGTTTTCTTTTGTTGGATTTCAGGTTTTTGGTGTTCAGGTTTTGTTAAAATCTGAGTTTGATCATGATATAATGTACATTGTAGAAGATTGTAGTTTACTTCTTAATGTGTTCTTGTTTTGTGGCAACTGTGAGTTAAAGTGTCTGTGTTCTGTATTAGCTGACTGACATTTTTTTGTCTGGAAGTCCTCACAGTAGAAGATCATCATCATGTTTTTTGTTTTCTGGCTTTGATTTTCAATCTAGTTGTTAAATGATCCTTCCCTTGGGAGCTGTATGTCAGCTTTACATACTTTGAACAAAAAGTAAAAATGCAGTTCTCAAATGTTGCTTGTTTATTTATTTTCTTTTTTCTGTTCTGTTCTTACCTTTTTTTCTTTTCTTCATTTTTTTTTTCGTGGGTGTTTGAATTTAGTTACTGCACAATTTGTAAGGTTAGTGCAATTGTGGATGAACAATTATGTATTTTTAAGATCCCATGATATTGAAGATCTATTTTTTTTAATTATTATTTTCACTTTTTTTATTTTCCTTTCTCTGTGCAGACAGAGTTTTCAGGAGTGATTGCTCCACTAGAGAAGTGTACGAAAAAGGAGCTAAGGACGTGGCAATTTCAGTAGTCAATGGAATGAATTGTGAGGAAAAGTTTCGATCGTCAAATTTCAGTGAATTTAGCTTGTTTAATTTCCTTTTTAATTGTTTTTGCCAATCCATGAATATTCTCTGTAGCAAGTGTTTTTGCATATGGACAAACGAGCAGTGGAAAGACATTCACGATGACTGGAATAACTGAGTTTGCAGTAGCTGACATATATGATTACATACAAAAGGTAAAATCAAAATCAAATTATACTTTATATGTTTTTGTGTTCTTACTATTATTCTAATTTGAAATATTTTCAGCACCCAGAAAGAGATTTTGTGTTGAAATTCTCGGCTATGGAGATCTACAATGAATCTGTTAGGGACCTCTTAAGTGTGGATACCACTCCACTAAGACTCCTTGATGATCCTGAGGCGAGTTCTTTTTTTTTTATTTGCCGATATAATTCGATCAAATCATTTTGTTTCCCCTTTTATATTTCTCTCACTCTCTCTCTCTCTCTTTTTTTTTTTTTTTTTTTTTTTTTTCTTAC